TTTCGTTTTTTTCCGTTTTGCTTAATAAACATTATTTTGGAGAGAGAGAGAGAGAGAGAGAGAGAGAGAGAGAGAGAGAGAGAGAGAGAGAGAGAGAGAGAGAGAGAGAGAATGGCCTGAAGTTCTGCATTTAAGTAAATAGTATAGACTTATATCATATAGTAAAGAAATCTTGCAAAATATCTTAAAAATATTTCAAGTCCCATCCTGTCAAACAACAAAATACTAAATGAATAAATAAGAAAAAGAAAAAGAAACAAGAACATAACACCCCAAACTGAGTCGATTGAAATCCATGATCCCTCAGGAAGTTGAATTACTTATTTTCAATTAATTAGTTTCAATTATAAGAAAATAAATATATAAAGAAATATTAAAAGATATATGTATATCACGAGAATGGCAAAAATTATAATTGTTTAAAGTTTTAAGACGTTAAAATAAAACTCAAGTTGCTTAATTTCATATAACAGATTATTTTTAATTGCAATGTTTGATCTCGGTGAAATACTTAGGATTGATTTTCGTATTGATTCACGCATACATATAGTTAAGCAATTGTTAATACATGTAGCAGTCATCGGGGCGCATTACAATTGTACCTGTAATTGTATTTATTTTGGTATTCGGGCACTCTGACAAAATAATCATGAATTTATATTAATGTAACCATTACTTCATTTTTATATTAATAAAAACAACTATGTCCTGAGTAACACATATTGACTTATTCCATGTACTCGTAATTAATCGAAAAAAAGTATCAAAATGAAGCCGAAATAAGAAAGATAAATTATGAATATGCACACTATACCTTTAAGTCGTTTCTGTTTAATCATTGCAATGACAACACATACCCTGATTAAAACAATAGATGCAGCAAAAAATGGAACGAGGAAGAGTCCAAATAATTATGGTATTTCAATGATTTTATGATGCAACGACTTCCCAATTATAACAAAATAATTGACATGTTAGTCATCATGCACCTGTCCGGAAACGGAAATAAAACTGTCTTTTAGGAATTTACAGTATAACAACTAGGCTATTACAACTTTTTCAGCAGAATTCATGACTTTCGATCAAGGACATTGATAGTAAATCTGGTCTCCTTGAAAAGACGAGGGTTTCCATTACCATCAGTTGCAATTATCTCGTTAAATAAACATAACAAAAATGTAAATGCTAGTAACATTTTGTTTAAGTCTTTTTTTGATAAGTCTTTTTAATCATTCAAACGTTTGTACCACTTCGCAAAAGTTCAATATCATCTACAACCATTATCTAATTCAAACACTTAATCGAATGTAACAACAAGTTTAAAACTAAATTATGATTGAGGAAGTTTTCACTTAAGGTGCTTCTGATGATTATAACAGGGGAAACAACAGATATGGTATGATGTGATATACACTTCATTTATAGTGTTGTGGGGGGAACAAGTAGTCGGATGTCACGCACATGTAAAACAATTAGATCTAACCCATGACTCATTTCACTACATATAAATATAAACAATGGTTTATTTAAAACACCAAGAAGATTAAAAATTACAGCTATGTGTAACATCTTCTTTTTAAATTTTGTATTTATTCTTAGTGAATAATAATTTGGATACGACATTTGTATTATATATAAAATGTCGAGGAATAACTGTTCTCTGTGCACGGTAATTTTGGCTATATTATCAACAGCCATCATACCCAGCAAAGGTAGGTTTTGTTTTTATTGTTTTATTTGTCACTTATTGTTCTATTTGTCTTGATCAAACTACTTTACTGCAATGACGTGACGAGACGCCTTTTACTTTAAATAGATTTTGTTACGTTGCTTCACTTGTTTTTGATTTAAAAATATGAAAGGGAATCTGAAGCTTTTTAACATGGCGGGGCTAAAAATATTTGTTCGAGATTTATATTTGATATATAAGTCTAGACCAATAACTTGTGTCATCAGCACACTCCGTTTTTCCAAAATGTTTATTCTTACTGTGAAAATTTACCAAATATTTAAAACCGTTGCAACGCATTTTACAAAAAAAAATTGAGCAAAAAATACAATTTTCAGTTTTTACCTTTTATATTCTAAATTATTTTTAACAATCTTTTCTGTTTTTAAGTACCCAGCTGATCTATATAACAAATTCAAATTTTATAGTTTTAGGCTTTTGAACCTCCTTGAAGTTCCTTTAATATTGCAATATCATGACAGTTGTAACGAAGTAAAGTCACCACCAAGGAACGAAGACCCCTCCCCCGGTCACTATTGAAAATAACACCACTTTCCTTTAAATTACTGACTCCCTCTAAAGTAAAATACTCCCCCTTCAATAACTTGTAGAATATTAGCCCCCTTTTATTGACCTCAAATTGATTATCTTTATCAAACTAACTACTGAAAGCTACTGTTCTGGCCGCAATACCGACAACCCTGTCCTACTGCCTTAGAATAGGGATCCCTTTCTATGTATACATATTTTAACTGCTGACGAATAATTTACCTAGTCTCAGATATTAAGGAAAGACACAATGCCTAGATTAAGCTTAGAATGCGAGGGAAAAAAGATCAGTGGCAGCCAATTACCATTTTCATTTTCAAAAAAAACTGGAACCTAATTTTTCAAGCTGTGTCAATGAAGAAAAATAATTGTAAACATCGAACGGCTCCATCAAAAGACCCCTGGATTTAGAGAAAGAAACACTAACCACCCAAAAACCGTTTCTCATTAATATTTACTTGTATTAAAATATTTAAGTAATATTTTACGGATGAATATGATTTTTTTCAATGAACAAATTTTTTCTAGCGACGTCGGTTACCGAATACTACACAAATAAATCTGACTGTCAAGTAGTGGAATATATAGATTCTACGTGTCGGACTGCTTTAGCGGGATGATTTTCGCTCAATTATTTACATCAGTTTTAAACAACAGGTTTATGATGACCAAAATACCTCGAAATTAATAAGGATTACAAACCCAAAATACACTGGAAATTCTAAATTCATAATAACTTGATTTTATTTAGATTTTGTCCTAGGCTTATAACTTCTACGTGGTGCAGGGTAAGGCGCTACTTTTGTGTGTGACAGGTCTGGGGTTCAAATCCAAGACGAGGCAACTAGTTTTTTAAAAATAACATTTAGATGTATTTGTTTAGGAAGTAGCCACGATATGAAAGGATAAATTGTGACTGTCATAAAAAATGGACGTAAATGATATTTTGATGCAACTCTAGTTATGCAAAATTCCGTATGTATCAAATTCTGGCGCCTGCAAGATGAAATATTGTACATGAAATTAAATTTATGCAGGAAAATAAATACAGATATACAGTACGATATAGATTGCAAAGATCAGAAAATACCACAGAGCTTGCAGCCCTTTGATTTAGCAACTCGTCATTAAATATTAGTATATTTTAAAAATGGAAACAATTGACATGGAGGAGACCTTATTAAAAGGAGGTCACTTTTGTTCGCGAGAATCATTTTTTCTTCGTGTGGGAATGTCATTATACATTTACCATAGGTCACACCTTTAAGTCGATATACTTAAAAAATAAAAACCGGGCGTTTCATAAATCTATGGGGTTCACTTTCTTCATTATACCGGTTTTCCATTTCGTAGAAAGAAATTCAATGTGCCTTGGCTGAATGACATGAATGTTTTTGGTGAATTATTAATTTTTTTTATTTACTAGGTGTAGTGCTAGACTGTTATACCACAACAGTTTCGAAGTACGATGGACATCAGGAGAGGTCTAAAGACGAACAACCGTGTTTTCGATGAGATCAGTTTGAGACATACAGTGCGAGTGACTTCCCAGATTCCACAAAGTCAGACGCAGCTAACTTCTGTCGTTCTCCAGATGGACATAACGAAACCTGGTGTTTTACAACAGATCGAGGAGATCGGCAGCCTTGTGGTATCACAAAATGTGGTGAGCAAAAACATATCTTATATTTCAAATGTATAATTACTCGTATAATTAGGAACAGGTTATCAAAATTCATTATTGTCATTTGAGAATGTTATCTGGCAAAAATGCTAGGTTTTCCATTTGTAGAAGTAACAAGCAAATTAACATGTCTTTGCTGCTTATTTTTACATGTTTTTAATTTCTATATTTCTCTATGGATTACTAGATTGTTATAGTTCTCGAATATTTTGCTGCCATCGATTGTCATCACTTGCAGACAGACGTCTGTTTTGGCAAACTGTGTAAACGATGGGACCATGTTAACGCATACTGTGCTACCTGGATGGTACAAAGTCATACTCAATTTATTTCTATCATGCTCCTGGATATCAAGAACTTTTGTGTTATATCCAATTATCTTAAACCTTTTATCTCATATAGACTTTTTTGACGACTTTTCAACCCTTTTGAGATCTCAAATAGTTAAAAATGCCCTGTTTTGACCCAAACACTTGTTTTCGTTTGAAAAGTAAATGTGGTTAAAAATTTGATTACTTTTTCGGCGCCGCAAGAGGGGATATGTGCCCCCTTCTGCTTGGTGAAGGGGTGGAGGGGGGCAGAAGTCCCCCTCATCGCCAAGAAAATCTTGGACTGGTGAGAGACTATAATGGCGTAAGGTCGATCCTAATGTCACGTGTAACCAACGCTTGAAAACATTTAACTCTATCTCAATCCATTGAGAAAAGTTGCAGCACTTTGAAATCAGTTATGCTGTAAAAAATAAGAAGAAACGTAGTGAATTTTGCAATTTTGAGATGTCAACCATTGGCATGGTAACCGGAAAATGAATATTAAGTCTGCTGTTTCAAATGCTATGGTCTAGTCAACATTTGTGCCAAGTTCATCCTTTCATAGCAGTTTGAATTTGAAACAGGAGGCTTTCACAAAGAAAACTCATTTTAACAATATGCTCATACAGTAAAAGGTTATTAATGGGCTTGAGCTCAGGCTAAATCGATTTAGCGAACAAACTCCCATTAGCCCTAGCGTGATAGAATCGGCTGAATAATAATCTGATACCTACTGTTGTTTATGATATAATTGGCATTTAATTAAGGTGATCAAACTTGTTTTCGAAAAAGATGATGTTGTATTGTTACATTTAAATAGAACGGTTTGATTGGTTTTTAGCTTGATAATGATTAAAGCCTGATGTAATTTATTTCATATTCAGTAGTAACTTGCTACATGTAAAAGTGAAATTGAAACATCTTGTTTATGAAATTAAGGAATAAATTTATTGAAGATATTAAGATTTTACACCTGAACCAAATATTGCTCTTTATCCTAAAGTTGTTTCTTCTTTAAGTTAATTCGATCTCTATTTTTATTGTTATTATCCGATTTTATCCCAATATAAGGTAGTTTCTTAGTTAATCAGTAAAATTTGTTTAGTACCATTTTGTGCCTAATACGTTTGATCGCAATCTAGAATGTTTAGATATTAAAGAAGTGGCAATGGTATCTGTTTGAATTTTGTTCACGGCGAACCTTTTCCCCGAAATTGATCTTATACACTGAGTATAATGTGATCGTTAAGTCGGATGAGTAGTCGTTCTATTGCGGGGAAATCGATTGTCACTGGTTAGTCATCCGAGACATTTTAAGCCGGTAAGGTTAATCGAGCGCCGAAATATGACCAAAAATTATTTAAATTGTCGTAGAAAACAAAAACAAATAAATATCAATCAAACAGTATAACTAAAAGGCAAGGGTCTTGCAAATGGTTGGACTCTATCAATATCATTTCTATCACTAACTTTTACCTTTGCACCTTTCAAAAAAAAAACTGTAACCCCATCCTGCAAAAACGTTTCTTGTCGTATTTTTTGGTATATTTTGAACACTGACAAATTGCCAAAAAGGGTACCTCCTATTTTTTTTGTGTTTTCATTCTAGACAGCATAAAGCTAAATAACCTCACACTTGCATAAGATGACATTGCTTGAACGTTTTTTTTTTGTAACCTTATTTCACTTTCTTCAATACGGTGCTCGATTTCATCAACCAATGACCGTTGACCAGATAGACATGTCACTTACCCAACAAGTACGCTTCAACTACTTAACGTCTGTTATCTTCCTTATACAGATTACTTTTTTATTGCTGTTGTTGTTTTGGGTGTGTGTTCGTTTCTACTGCTTTTTGCATTTTTAGGTTGATTCTACTGCTAACAATCAGTCATAGTATGTGCCACAAAAAATGTTTATCTAGGTTTTTATGAATTTTGAAACCTGTAAAAACAAGAACGTGTTTGTTAAACACAAATTTCCTTCGGCTCAGAATCTTGTCAGTTACAATATTTCTAAACATGTTTACCCCGCAAGTCTTTGCTTTTACTTGAAATGAATATAAAGTATCTTTATTTGTAAATATAAGACTTTACCTTGAAGCCACCAACCCCAAACTCCATCCGAACTTAAAGGACTACATTTAGTATGTTCCTTTAAAAATGAGTTATTGGTAACAATTACAAAGGATGTATAAAATTTTTAAAAGGATCTATTGTCATTACAAGTGACTCCCAGTACTGGACTTTGAAAGATTTGTTCCTTTCAAATATGAAAAACGTCAGAATATTAATAAAGGCTGTATAAGTCAATGTATAAAAATCTATTTTGGCACCTTTGACTTTGACCCACTGACCTCTTACTCAATCCTAAAACTATGCAAGATATCTTCCTTCCAAATATAGAAGACTTTGTCAATAAATAAAGGCTATATAGGCAAACGTCTAAAATCAATTTTAAGCACTGGTGACATTGACCAAACTGGCCCCTAACTCAATCCAAGGATGCAAGTTTCACCCTTTCTGATATGAAAAATATCAGTCAAAAATTAAAGACTGTTTTGTCAAATGTGTAGAAATCCATTATTTGTGTTATTGGCCCCTAATTCAATCGAAAGGACGAACAACATGCAAGTTATCTTCGAATTAAAAGACATCTGTCCATACATAAAGGCTATATTGTCAAAAGTGAAAGAAATCTATTTTAGCACTGATGACCTTGACCAAACTAACCCCTAAGTCAATCCAAAGGAAGAAGACCATGAAAGTTATAATCGTACCAAATATAAAAAACATCTGTCAGAAAGTAAAGGCTTATAAGCAAACATGTAGAAATCTGTTTCTGGCATCCTTCATATTGACACCGTGACACTTACCTAAATAAAAAATAAGAGTATCATGTAAGTAATATTCCTATCAAATATAAAATATATAAAATAAATATATATAAATAAATTATCTGTCAATAAATAAAGGCTGTATGGACAAAAGTGTAAAAGCTATTTTAAGCACTGGTGACCTTGACCAAACTGACCCCTAGCTCCATCTTAGGGAAGAATACCATGACCGTTATTTTCCTAACAAGTATGAAATACATCTGTCAATAGATAAGGCTGTATGGGCAAAAGTGTAAAAATATATTTTAAGCACTCGTGACCTTAACCCAACTGACCCCTAACTCCCTCAAATAGGCAGAAAACCATGTATGTTATTTCCTACCAGATATGAAATATATTTGTCAATAGATACAGTCTTATGGTCAAAATTGAAGAAAAATTTTTTCTAGCACTGGTGACCTTAACCAACTGACCACTACCTCAACCAGCAGGAAGAATACCATGTAAGTTATTTTCCTACCATATATGAAAGACATTTGTCCATAAATAAAAGCTGTATGGGTAAAGTGTAAAAATCTATTTAAGCACTTGTAACCTTGCCCCAACTGATCCCTAACTCCATCTGAAGAAAAAGACCCCGATTTTAGGTTCCTATCAAATATAAGCGACATCTGTCAATAGAATAAGGTTAATACACCTGTAAAAAGTAAAAAACTATTTTTGACATTGGTAAACTTGACCTTGACCCAAATGACCCCTATCCACACCCAAATGAAGAGGACATCCTTAAGCACTTGGATTAAACATGAATGATATCAACTAAAAAATAAAGGTTGTATGAGCTAAATTGATTGTTTATTACTGCTGTGACCTTGACCCTAGAGATACTATTCTCCATAAAAATTAAGGACTATTTAAGGAATCTACCTAGCAAATATGAAAGATATCATTAAATAAATGAAGTAATTAGGAGATATCTGTGTATCTGTGATAAATCCAACCTGCTGAAATAGGTTAACCATACATGGCCCTGTTTTCAAAATGATAAAAAGGGAAATAACTGGGAATTGTGGATGACACAGTTATATAACTTGGCAATATCATGAACTTTGTATTGATAAGTAGGTATGGTAATTATGAAACCATTAGTTTAGATAGAACTTAAGATGTATTCAACTTGCCATTTCAGGTTAACCAATCATTTATTTTTCTAATTGCTGGAAATGGCAATAACTTGATGAAAATGAAAGCCATAGTTATGTATAGTTATGTAACTTGCCCAGATTGCGTACTTTGCGTTGATTAGAAAGTATATAAAGAATGAATCCATTTTCATAAGCAGAACTTGAGAAAAGCTCAACTTGCCAACTTGTCGTTTTGGGTTTATCTCGTACGATAAGACGGACGGACTGTTCAATTTCTATATTCCCGGGGGATAAAAACCAACGTTTACAGCCTTTATATTTTTTTCTTGAATGCCCGGTTATTTACCAATCACAAACTTTTCCAAGGTCTAAACTGTTTTCAGAATCACTGCCTTCTGATAGCCTGCACAACTGACTATTTCTTAAACCGATTATCGCGCATCCTAGTTAAACTACAACATTAACATTGGCGGCGTTTCTCTTAGTGACAGTCCATATTAAAGGCCAACAGAAACTGGTGGCATGTAGAACAGGTTATTTCTTACTGTTCACATTGAAATGATCTGAGGTTCCTAAATACCACATTTGAAACTTTAAATCTATAACAGCCTAGTCGCATTTATAAAGTTACATGTTTGTGATTTTTTATCGCATTACATAGGCACTAGTCACTTCATACGATTGCTTTAATTTCAATTCAAAATTATTTTGTTTCAAATAAATCAGTTGGCACGCGATTACCATTCACGTGCTCATTTAGAACTTTATTTATTAAGCTTAATCTTCATCAGCATGCATAAATGTTAAAATGACGCCTGGCATGGACAAATGATGGTGATGGTGAAAAGTTGATGAAGATAATGATGATAGTGTTCTGAGCATGATGATTTATTCGTGATTATTTATAGGATGATGGTATCGATTATGGTGATGATATATTGATGATGATTGTGAAAGTTTTATGTTTAACTCTTGTATGTGCACTATAAACTTTAATGTTAGTGAAAGTTTTACTTGGACATTCGAAAGTTATGCTCTCTGCGATTAAAAATGCACGAGAACAATTTACAAAAGAAAAGGTGTATTGTTAAATTTGAAAATTGCTTTGTTTGTTGCGCCTATATCAAACCAGATTTAGACAAATATGAGAAAGTACTCTATTATGGGCAATCATAAAAAGATTTTTCTTGCTATTTAAATCCGGTAGAACAGATATTAAAGAAAAGTACCGATATATCAGTCCTGACTGTAACAGCAACACCCGATAGTGATGCGGTTAAAGCAGATGTATAGGCTTCGATTCATGTCACGCCCACCCTCTTATCTTTAGTTTATCTTATAACGACTTTTAAGAGTCTCCTAAAATTGGTCATGTCATAAGTTTTTTAAACCTTGAAAACGTTCAGGAAGAATATTTTTATGACATCTTTTATTTTAAATGTATGTGTTTTAAACTATATTGATGAACATAAACTTAGTAGTTGACTTAACAAAGTTTCTAATTAGTCACCCGTTAAATTGCATTTCGAAAGGTCTTAGCTATGCTTAACTATGACTGTGATTACATATGATTTGGAATGTTACAACATTGAAATAAAGTAAAATCAACCATGAGTGACAAAAATACAAAATACAATTTTAATCACGTGCAAGACAGGGAAATGTTGCTTGCATCATATATGACCATAATTGTTATCCCTATAAAAATATAATTAGAAACAAAAAAATGTCGAAAATTTCAAAATATGAACATTGAAGCAATGTTGGCCATCACAATTTATTTGCGCTTTACATTGATTTTCCGTTTAAAAAAGTTTTAACTACAGTATTGTTTTTAAGCTTGATTGCATGATTACAGAAATTAATAAATGAAACAAATTCATTTGGGAAATGGATTCTGTTTTTGTTTAGTTATCTGTCCTTGATAGTATGTCCGGCATATTCTGCCTCTTTCCGTTTTATTACAAATCAAATATCCGCCGATATGACATATTAAAACATCATAATAATTGAAAATTAATGTTTTCAGCATAAAAAAATTTCAGGAAAATGTAAGGCAATATAAATTGATATAACGGCGTGGACTTTTCGAAACATTTAACATTTATTAGAAAATTGTTTAAGTGCAATTAATATATTAACAAGAAATGAATTCAGTAAGATAAAATGTGAATGTTTTAAATGTATGATTGAGTTATTCTACAGGTGACGATGGTTTGAGTAAGTGTGGTCAATTGACTATTGACAAACCCACAATATTAGGACGGTATGTCAACTTTTCTTTTACCCCCGACACGTATGATCCAAATGCAATTCTAGAATGGCAGCGCAGCATGAATGGATTAGATCAATGGAAAACGCTTCCTTTAAACAACAAGTTTAATCAATATCAGAGAAATACCATGATTTACCACATGCTATTAACAGACAGTGAGAAAAACCAAGACGAGATATTTTACCGAGTTCATTATTATAATGAAACATCACATTGCTGGATGAACGCTGGGAAACTGACGCTTCAAGGTATGGTGTATCAATATATATAGTAATCAATAAAATATGATATTATGTTCTCTTCCAAGTATGTTTTGTAACAGGGATCAGTACGTACATATGAAATGAACCCCGATTGACAATAAACAAAATATAGCAGAAAGACGCTCGATACTTCTGATATGATAAGACATTAGGTGCTATATATGACGCACAAATATGTTATGATTGAAAAACAAGCTTAAAATTTTCAATTAACCTATCAGATGCGAAATTATGGAAAATTGACAGATCACAACTTTTCGAATTACAAGATAAAGATAAAAGTCGAGGAATTCTGCTTGAAAACGGATGCGTAGACTGGTGTCCAGCGCACTTTTATAGGAACCATGATATGACAGGGAACCAGAATAAACGGAAACAGAGTTGTTTAAAATATCAAATGGCACTTAAAACGGAGAATGTAAAATAAAAATAAAAGATTATTTTAACCGACTTCCCCGTTCAGAGACTTTGCCTAATTTCATAATACCCAGACTATAATCTGGTTTCCTGTCCTATTATGGTTCCCGTCTATGTTCTCTGACGAGTGGATTCAATTTAGATATCATAGAAAACATAAAATGGCCGTACATAGTGTGTGGTCGTGTAGCCGCCAATAGGTTTAAATTATAATTTATATACTTTCTGTCAAAAAGCTCGCTTTGATGATTTGCCTTATTCATATAAGAAAGAAGGCAAAGCCTATATAAACGGGGAAGTCAGATTTTAAAAAATCGTTCATTTGTTAATTTATATTTTTTGATGATATGTATAGAAATCTATATATATTTTCAATTATTTTTATTTTATTTCCTCTTAAATATGCACGTGTAGGCTATAGTCAGGCAAGCCAAAGCGCGGGGCCCGCTTTGCGTACCCGCCTTGTGGCATACCCGTATGAAAGGAGAAGTCAGATAAAAAAAATGTTATATTTTATTTGACAATTTCCGTTTAAAGGTGTCATTTAGTATTTTATGCACTGTTTCTGTTTAATCTGGTTTCTTGTCCTGTAGCTCGCAGGAGACCAGTCTGTGTGTCCGTTTTCAACCAGAATTCCTCGGTATTTATTGTTACCTTGTAAGCCGATAAATTTGCGATTCGTCCATTATCGGAATATTTTCTTGCCGTTTATCATTGCGTTACGGCGCAAAATAAGAAATGATACTGTAAATTTCACATGGATTTCTATGTTTATATTTTATTATTTTTTATTTCCTTTTAAATATACATGTGTAGTCTATTGCCGAAGCTTTGACTTCCCCGTATTAATTAGAGACAAAAAATAAACATAAGTAATTTCATAGATGTAGATAACTACGTTGCCTACTCTCAACAGTATTTTTTAGGATTTTGACAGTTGTCGATAATATTATCAATGTGTATAAAATCAAAAAATAAAATAAGTCAAAAATAAAAAGGAAGTCAAATATCGTAAAACAATGTAAACCTTTTCGTGTCTTTAACAAAATTAGGAACATGATGAAAATCATGTTTTGAGAATCATTTATATTATTTATACCAAAAAGAAAATTTAATGTACTGAGAGAGTGGAATTATCTAGTATTTCTAAAATTATATATCGTCTGATGACTATATGTTTGGCATTGAAATAAAAAAAGTCAACCTTCTTCTATTAAAACATTGCATTCACACGTTGGGTTTTGGATAATACAATTGTTTTATAAGCCGGTGTTTAAACTACTGCATTTATTTTCAAAACGTGTATAGTGTACTGCTGGTTAACGTTCACTGTTTATATTGTGGAAAACGGAACAATGGGAGATTATTTTCAGTTTTCTTTAAAAGTTTGCTTAAGTGTTTGATTCTCTAATGCCTTTTGATATTTCATTCCAAAGTTGTATTGATGACGCGATAATTGATTCTATATATATTTTGGATCTCCTTGCCAAAGTAACACAGTTTGATGTTATTTCTTAAACTATAATGCTTTTCAGTTGCATTTTGTACTTCAGGGATAAATAACTGTGATAAAGATAATGGCAGTAAATTATAATGTATGTTTCTCTTTGTATACCGTGTTGTGTTGAATAAGACACCCATCTTATTTTTCTAAATAAGTTTTGAATGGACAATGATCTTGTATTTTTTTCTTACTAAAAATATCCTTCGCATATTGGGTATAGCTATCCCATAAAAATGAAGCATATTCTATACGTATGAAACATTATTGAGTGTAATCCATTGGTCTTAAAATTTTAACATTTTCATAGAACTAAAATTTAGACACCAAAAAAAACTATCGTAGAAATTTGTTCCTGTCATGGCATAATTGAAAATTTTCAAAATACATATATATCCAAACAACCAATTATTGTTAATATTATTCATTATACTGTCATTTACGGTAGTGCAGAATAATGACCTTTCACGCACCATGCTCTACCATGTACTTATTTGGTTATGCATCATGTACAATCTTGTACTTATTGGGTCACATACCATGGTCAATCATGTACTTATTGGATCACACATCAAGCTAAATTTTGTACCTTGGGTCACACACCCTGTTTAATCATGTATTTATTGGATCACACATTTAGCATAATCATGTACTTATTTGAATATATTAGGTCACACACCTTTCACAGTCAAGTGTTTTTTGGGGGGGTTACAACCTTATACTCCATGATATATGAATTCTTTTGGAACATTATTACTCTTTTACTGAATAATGAGAATTATACAGCAATGCTGGGTACATGAAATCAATTAACTTTAAATATTTTCAGATACAGGAAATTGTGGACTAGTGTACCTCAGATCTGAGAAGTTAATTAAAAATGGGACCGTAGAAATAGAATATTATCCGTCAAAGTATGTGATGGAAAATAGCGGTAGTTTCAAGCGAAGCTGGATACACACTGACGACAAGAAATCAGAAACCCTAATATTGGCTAATGGCAGTTACGAAGAGACAACGGGGCAAAATAACAATTATGTGTTAACAATATATATGTTCAGTGTTTCTATGAATGGAAGATACAGTGTTTATTGCGGTCCGAATTTACTATACACAAATGCAATACTGTTAAAATTACCAGGTTGGTTTGTTTCTAAACTTCTTTTGATCTCTTTTCAATTAAGGTCAGTTTTCGCAATTAGAATATTTATTATGGAAAAACGGAGTGAGCAAATGATGCTAAATTTTACACACAGGCTATTGATGTAAATCTACACTAAACGGAAAATTAATCTCGAAAAGTTCATTTCAGTCCATTTTTGACAAATAAACTCAGTTGGGTACTTTTAAAAAACTCATAATCAAGTAGACGAATGGGTAACAGCGAGTTATCTATCATACCAGTTTATGTGTTTAATTTTAAATGTGCACGAATCTTGTTGATTGCACAAATGACGTTTTTTGTATACTTATGATGTTTTGTAAAAACTATCAAAGCGATGTAAAAAGGAAATTTCGAAAACAAAAAATAAAGGAAAATACAGAAAAGACACGATCACAAATTCTCTGCAGTTAACTACTTGTTTTACTTACTTTCAGAACCACCAAGAACACCTGTAATAGTTGGATTACAAGACATAGAAAGGTGCAGGTACTGTATTGTTGCTGAGGATAATGATAATTTCGAACTTGCCTGTGAGATACACGGTGGTACCCGTCCTCTAACCATTACGATGACAATAGGAAATGAATCATATGTACCTCTAGAATGGAATTCAACAACCTGTATGGTACTTTTTACGGTTAGAGACAACCATCACATGGCAAATGTGATATTTTCAGTCATGAACGATGCATTGTCGTCACCTTTAAGTGTTACTGCTCAGATGTTTGTTATAAGTAAGTATACTAATAATAGTATGCTAATTGATGTGTATTTATAATGGTATGTTAAAGTATTATTACACGTTATGTTCAAATTGTTGTTTTTAAACACTATTGTGATTATACGTCATTTTAAAATGAAAGAAAATGATACCTTAAAAATCGAAATTAAACTGCATTTATCAACAAAATAATTTGATAAATTTAACAAAATAATTTGATAAATTTAATCCTATACATTTTATACTTTTGATATGAATGTTTTATTAATTGTGATATCACCTTTATGTGTATATTAACAGAACCACCAACGATTCAATTGTCGGTCCCGGAAATTCTAAGAGTCGGAGAAGCTGTTAACATCACATGTACGTTGGATGACGGAAGACCTAATCCGATTGTGTATTTTAGCATTTTCGGTTCAGAAGTATCGTCTGCAAACTCACATTTCTATAATTCGACTACATCTTTAAATACCAACGTTATCACTTTGACCACATTCAAGAAAGAATGGAACAAAGAAAACATCACGTGCTGTCGATATAATGAATGGTACACAATTGTGCGTGCCTGTTCACCGCCGAAACAAGTTAACTATCATTGTAAGTTTCTTTTCTATTAGTTTTGTTTAACATATTGTGTGTGTACTACATTTTATCATATTTCATTATAGTCTGCTAAGTGCCCCTATATTTTTAAGTATTTTCACTTGATATTCATGGTTTTCTGGTTGACTTAACTCATTCATGAGACCAACCGCTATTAAGACCAGATTTGCAGTCCCTTCAGTGGCCTCACTAGCGGATTTTACTGTAATTATATACTGATGTTAACAAGTGATCATATTGTATCAAAGCATGTGTACGTTCTTGAGCAAAACAAACAAATATCTTCTGGATAAAAGAAAATTTTATTTTCCGTCTGTAACATGAAAACATTTATCGTATTAAATGAAAATTGTTTCAATAACATTAAATGGTATTTAAGTTTAATTTCTTGTTTTGTTTAGTTCCTCCCACAGATGTGATTTTAGAAGTCAAAGTTAATGAAGACAATCAAATGTATGCTACTTGCACAGTGTATGGCTCGAATCCAGTCTGCAACGTTCAGTTTAAAACTACAAGCGGTATCATCGGATCAGAAAAGTCTTCAGAGAATATAAGTCTACTACCCTATGGTGCGTGGAATTCTGTGTATGGAGTAAACTTGAATGTCAGTGAAGAAGACAATGGTACAGATGTAACGTGTATAGTTGAGTGTGACGAGTTTCCTGTTGACCTTACGGACACTGTCAAAATCCTCTTGCCTTGTAAGTTTTTAGACATTTCGTTAATTTTGTTGATACAGATTACAATTAATTTTAGATATATACCTGACATATCATTAAATACTGTCGCTCTCAGAACTTAAAGATAATTGATAAGAGATACAAAGATAAAACTTGTAAGTCAGTGCCACTTTTTAAACATTTAAATTAGTATTAAGCGGACTAGTTAGACAGATAGATAACGCGATAATTATATGGTATACTTTTGACAGAAATATGCCACGATAGTACAGTAATCCATTTTTTCTGATCGATTTGTTGCTGTGTTTTTGTTTGTGTGTGCGTATCTGTATCTGAGCTAATCATCAAGATAAATATTCCGATTGTACAAAACTCTAATTATGGCAAACATGATATTGTATTAAAATCAAATTTCAGACCCTCCAGTTATAGAGTTCAATATATCTGGATCGACATTGACTATTTCTGCAGGAGAGCGGGCACATGTAAATTGTGTAGCTGCAAGCGTTCCTGCCTCCAATATATCATGGATTGAAGAGTTAAGTAATGGAAACATAACAATGAAGCAATGTGACATGTCACCAAACTGCGTATTAAATATTGATACTGATGAAGTTTCAAACAGGCGTTTAATGTGCCAAGTTCACTATAGGACAAAAGTTGATCACAAATATTTGACTGTACACATAATAGGTACAGTTTTTAAATTCCATTTGTTTTGTTTTAGTATTTCTTTTAATAAGTTCGTTATAATTTCCAAATACAAGAATCCTTGCCTTGTTTGACATAGTGTTTAACTTAAAAATTGAAAAGAAAAATGTCGCTTGTATTTTAATATAATGTTTAATAATTTGAAGAGTTTCCATTTAAATGATTTCAATTTTCTGTCCGATATTATACTTGTTAACAGCTTACCTATGCCCCTGTACATCTCACGTCTCTTTGTACAAACATAAATTTATACACATAAGACCCATTCATTGCAAACTCTTGACACTCTTCAAGACGTTCGTTTTTCCTGTAAAGGTTTACTAAACGTGATATAATGTGTACCCTTGATACGAATTGATTTCATATAGATATAATCTGTTTCTTCGCGTTAAAATACAGTATCAAATAATAATCATAGAAGTACAATTCATGTTAATTAATCTAAGTAAGTCATTAGCTAATCATAAGGAAAATATTCATATTTATCTAGAAAAAGCCGATAAAGATAGTAAATACAATGATAAACAGAACAAAACTGGCCAAGACACGGACAAGGCCATAATTTGGATAATACTGGGTGCATGTCTACTTGTGGTCGGTATCATTGTCTTAGCGGTTTTGTTTGTTGTCATCAGGAAAAAACGCCTCAATTCTACAGGTAAGATAGACTTTATATCTTCTATGAAAAACGACGTCATTTGCAGTGCCTTGTATAGGTTATCAAATGTTGCTATTACACAAATATAAGCATTTCCTTAAATGCTAGAATTCAGCCGGTATTCCAAATTTTGTTCGTAAAATTTGGGACTCCCCCCCTAAACAATAGAGTAAATTTTCCCTTTCCTTTAGCAAAAAAACCGGATACTTTTTAACCCCGCGGGAATTTCTACAAAACAGGTTTTTTCCGAGTTTCCCGTACATAAAAAGTAGTTATTCAATTCTAAATACAGGTAACCTGACAAAACAAAACAAAAACAAAAACAAAACCATGGCAGACTGCTGTTCAAACGGCGTAACTGTTTGATGTCTTTTGTCCCCCAAATTTTTTTATAAATGTGGTTTTTAAAATTTTCCCCTTATTCTGTTTTGGTTTGGGCACATGCGGGGGTTTTGGGTAAAAAAATAAATAAAAATCTTGATAGTTGTATATACCGCCGTACAGGAAGGGGACAATTATTTAGAAAAGAAATATGCATTGCCAATTTTAAAATTATCCATTGAATACAAAAAGTAACCGAATTCATACAATGGATGGAAAAGGCATTGTAACTGTTCAAAGCTGTTTTGCGCTTATATTGTTCCTTATTATTTAGGAAACAAAAATACGCATAAAATATACAAATGTACGACATACACGTACAGTGTTTAAATCACCAAAATATGTATTTTAGCTCAATCATGGTGAGAACATTTAAACCAGATAATTTCTAGTACGCTAAATGAAACATGTTCTTTGACTAAAAGGCCCTGGGCTGAGTTTAACAACTTAAACACAAGCCCTTCAGATTTTGTACAAGAGTATCGTGTAAGCAAGCCACATGTCTGCATAAGTGTCTTTTTTTCGTTGGACACTTTCATATCAAAATTTTCTGTATTAGGCACTCAATATTAAGTTTAAGCTTATTCCTGTTTAATTCCGTTTATCTATAATTACAAAATGTTTTTGTATTTACAAACGGCATTATTAGTTATGTTGGCATTCCTTTTATATGTTTTTTTTTTCTTAAACATTACAGAAAAGAGGGACAGCCAGGTAGATTATCACAAGCATGAGGATGATATAGTGTAAATGTCTCTTTACTCTTAATAAATACTTTATCAAAAAATTAGCTTGTTTGTAAACATGTATTTAAGACATTTGTCTCAGGTAGTACAAAAAAACCCAAAAGAAAACAAAACAGAAAAATCTATTTTTTTTTCTGCAACTATATATATGTGCATATAATTATTTTATGTTGGCTTTTTAAATATATCTTAAGCATTAACGATCAAAATTTGATTGTTTTATCACATGATATTGTAATAACTAAAACCTTTTTTAAATGATTTGTATATTTCATGTTTGTGCGATGTTACAATTTAGACTGTTCAATTTTAATCTAATTTTAATCTTTAAAAACAATCATAAGAATCATGGTCCTGTGTATACGATTGCAGATTTTCTAAACAAAACCCGGAGGTTCGTCCTTTAGGAAACCTTAGTCAGAATGCGCATGCGCTTGAGAACGAGGCTGAGGTACCTGTATATTCTCAACCAGTTAAAAAGAACACGACAGAAGACTCGCACAATACATATGCGCAAGTAAACAAAACAGGAAAATCAGCTTCTTCAAAAACGGAAAAGGTGTGGATAAAAATTATCACATTTTCATTCGTTTTATATTTATATAGAGACGTTGTGGGGGCCATTGTTTGCGCTAGGTAATCTGCATATTTGATATAATCATTTACTTGACTGAACATTTTGGTTTTTCATCAGATGAAGTATAAATTGAGATTTAAATATTATGAAATCTTGAAAATACAGTATGTATAATGTTTGTGTTTGATTTAATTTTAGCCCCAACATGCACAGGACGGACAATTACTATATGCTGATCTTGCCTTTGATCCAAATGAGACTCCATCAAAAGCAGCAGTTACCAAGCGGCGAGATTCCCCGACAGAATATGCTGATATAGATTATGTGAAGACAAAAACTAATAAAGTCATTGATGAAACTCCTACGGAACCAGACAATATTTATGCAAACCAGTAGATTCATTTGATATTATATAGTAATGATGTTTGTTTCATTGAAAAAAATTCTACTTAATACACAAAAGACTGTAAATATTAGCATGTGTATGCGAGTGTTTGTCAGGGCTTATTGCCAATACCTTAAGATTTAATCTGTTATTGAACTTGTGTCTGTGTTAAGTGTTCGTCCTATGTTTTTTATGACAATGTTTGTTGCGCATGAACCTTTAACTGATAATTGCAAAAATAATATTTTATCATTAATCAATGTAGTTCTATCGTTAAAACCTTTTTTTGGGGTTATTTTCACTTGCTATTTTATAAAATTGACAACTTCAAAGTTGTCGTATTTTACTGTTTACACAACATATTAATATAAATGACAAGTCAACATGTATATACATATATTAAGGTTTTTATTTCATAATGTGAACTGTGGAACATGACATTGATTTATGTGTATTATAGTACAAGATACATACAGACTGGGCTTAGTAGTAATAGTATGCCAAAATGATAGATAACATATTTGGGAGTCGGCTATATTTCATAACATTTTATGTGAAAGCTGTCATTATATATATTGGGCTAGAGATTTAGTTTAGCAGTTCGAATTTGGTATTTCACTTGTACACTTGTATATTTGTATATTAAAAGTATGTAACATCTGTGAGTTCTCTCTCCGTTATGCGACACGTTATGCGACAAAGTCAGATAGGGATTTATTTTCATTCAGAACACATTGTCGATAAATTATAATGGAATCGGAAATAAGGATTGAAAGAAGTTGCATGTCATTAAATGGTGTTAACAAACCAGAACGTGCATTATTTGAATAACAAGTAACATAGAAAATTATGAAAAACATCAGTATTAAGTGAAGCTCATTTCGATTAAATTATGATAGATTAAGATATCCCGCAATCAGAATCGTTTACAAACAATTATAAGTGTAAACTTCAAAATTACGCCATTCACACTTTTAGATTGTTAGAACATGGTAGTCAACGCATAAAAAAGTAAGTAAAATCAACCCATTGACTTCACACCATATAATACCGCATAATTAGGAATTATATCATGATTTTGAGAGGGGTTTATTTTTGCTATTTCATATGGAGTTCAGATGTTCAGTTATATCATCACGAAGGTCGTAGACTTTGATAATGTCAAACATCTGAAACGACATACCACAACAATCTTAGATTTATGATATTTTGAAATTCAATGAATGCGATAAAAGTGAAGGAAATCAGTGTTTGACAATAAGCTTTTTGAATGAGCTATAGAAGGTGTTGATGAATTTATCATCTGCACAATTTATCACTTGCACAGTTATTTTGATTGCACTTTTTGAAAACGCCGAACCTAGTTGTTTCTCTTACTTGCGTAAATTACATGAAGGAAGTGCAATGTGTGACTGGTATTTAGTGACCCGTTTTGATCCTCGGACTCAATGTTGTACAGTATATGCAGTATCTTTCCCTCAGTACGTGCATATCATAGAGAAACTACAAGGTATAAGATTTGGAGTCAGGCTGATTAATCACCAAGGACACATTGACTGGTTAAGATCTGAGTTGTTTTTGACATAAAGGGTAGGTCCTGGAGAGCAATTTTGCCCAATCGTCGCTGGGAAGTTAAGCTTCTATCTCAATCTACGACTCAGCTGTCGTGGTCGCGGGGAGTAGCTTTGCAAAGTAGGCAGGGACGACGAGGAAAGTGTGCCTTTAGAACAGAGAGTGACGGCTTGTAAGGCAGGCCCCAAGCTGGCATAACAGTCCTTTTCAGGGCTATCTCATCCTTTTCATATTGTCCCAGGTACTGCTACTGTTAGGCTCTCATTTTTCGCCGTTCAGTGACTTACTTTTCGTATCTTTTGGTAATACTAAACTGAAATTGCTTGTAGGTCCATTCTTTCAATTAGCCTGAAGAATGTCTGATGACAGGTCCGGCGTCTATACTTGACAGAAAAAACTGTATTTAAGGCCTGAGAGGGCGGATGGACCGTCATTAAAAGCATAGGCTACAGTAACGTACCGACCGAATACATCACACATATGCGTTTGAACAACGGAATAATGTCTTGAATTTATTCATTGATACTGAACAAGTATTATATATAATGTAATTTTGTACTGTTTCAAATAACTTCAAAGTTAAAACATTTTTAAACATTTCCATACAATAAATGTATTCGATAATGTATACACCAGATTCAAGATTAAGTGTACTAAGTCTTATCTATTTTTTTCCTTAAATGTGCATTACGCTTCAGAAATGAATACAGTTTTACTTCTATAGAAAAGGAAACATGAACTGTATAAAAAAAATAAATTATTTTTGTTAGATACTTGTTACCTGGCGAAAGTAGCGCTAAATGCGAAATAGTTTGTCACAAAAGTAGCATAATGTCAACAAAGTAGTATTTTCACTTCCATACAAAATACTAAATCACTTTAATTGTACTAACGGCTAAAATGCAACAGTAGAAAATATGGTTCAGGTAATTGGTCAATGAATAACTATAAATATACACTAAAATAAAAAAGGCTTTTGAGAAACAAAAGAAAATATTGCTGTGGCATAATGTCTCTTCAATAATTTATAAAATCATAATACAAAATGAATCTTAAACATCTTATATAAAACCGTCTCAGCACATAATAAGATCATATAATTCTATATTTAATTTCCGTTATTACTTAATATTCAGGAAATCAGACACATGTTATTATCGGATAAATGCAGACGAATACTTTCCGTTTAAACTCATTTCCAGCTGAATTTATGCAACGGGAACTCCCTGCTTTTAATCTAGCACAGTTCATACCATGTTAAAGGCATTTCAATATATATAACAAAACATGAGCACTAATATATATACATATATATAACTTAAGTATAGATTTTTGTGTGAATCCCGTATGCGGAGCTGGCGTGACTCTTAACTATTGCAGAGAGTGGCAGCATGGCCGAGTGGTCAATTCATCGGTTATCTAAGGACGGCTGCGTGTATTCAAAACCAGTCAGAGGCAAGACATTGTTTTCCTGGGCAAGAAATTTTACATTCATCACTAAGTAATGGTTGGTGTCAGGAACGGTTTCGAGATTGTTTCAATAAGCTTATAGCTTCAAACACAATGGAACTAAAATAAATCTGTATAGACAAATACTATTGAAAAAGTCTCACCACTGTCGGTCCCAGCATGTTAAGGAATAAACTAGCAACTTAATCAGCAGTGTAATATTGAAATATGCTTTGTCGAAAATAGACCTCAAGAGTTTTACAGAATGGAAACTCTTGCACTTACAGCATGGAATAAGTAGCGATGGAGATAGAGACCATTTCGTCAAATTTACTTTTTGTCTGCGCTTATTGGAAGTTATTTTTTAAAATAATGATATCAGTGTTACATTATTATTTCATTATCGTACATGTTACTTATGGCATAAAACCTACAATATATTTATTTCACTTTCATTTTGATGTGTAAAACGACATCTTATCAAGATAATAAAAATGAACTTTATGACATTTTATACTAACTTTTGGGTTTTTACGGAAAATAAACATTTTGTAACCAACGAATGAAAATAAGTATATTTTTTCCTGATTGTTGTATTTATAAGTCATTTATGTTCCTTTATACTCTCGCAGATATAACGAAATCCTGGTGTCAATCGAAACAGTGCAACCGTATTCCTCGAACTGTAACTATTTGCATACGTACCGCTCACTATAATTTATATTCAATCAAGAAATTCGAAATAAAGTTTAATAAATACTATGCTTTACTGTACCTATAACATTGAGATCGGTAATCATAATCATTAATTATATACTCAATGTGTGTCCACTTATAGTGTGTAGGAGTTAAAGCATTACATATCTACTTTGTGTGAGGTCAAAACATGTTAATTTTTATATTTTCAAAATGACCATATAGCATTTATTGATGTTTTCAAATATCAAATTGGAGCATAGTATGTGTTTAATAAATCATTAATTTATTCTTTAACTTTGGCAATTTTCTACATCTATCATGCATTTAACATGTAATGCATCTACGCCGACAGCCGCTAGTCCAATGCATAGGTGTGCTACTGTAGTGTGTACTATCTTTGACTTTCAGGTTTCCTTATGCCATTCCAATTATGTTATATCAATTATTCTTCTTAGATCTTCGAAGACGTGAAGGAATCCAAGTGCCAGTCAAAAATTGACATGCACATTGCACAAGCCTGTGATTATTTCAAAATCTATATTATCCCTCGGAAGCATTAAAATCAGCAAAATTACATGAAAATTGCAGACTCGGTTTGATTGAGCCTGTACATGAGAGATTATGAAAAAGTGCAACATCCCTCACGCGCCCTAGCATCGGCTTTAGCAGTACTCCATTTAATTTTCAACACATGCGAAAAGTCCTGGAAATAATGATCCGGAATAACAAGATTAATATAACAACACCGAATCGAAGTACGGGGCCACTTTACGGCTGTCGCACACCACCTGACACCTGCAGTTAGTGACATTGAAGGATATAGCTATATAATGCAATTTTTATTCCCGAGATACTCCAATGTTATTACATTGTCTGAAACAGATTCCACGACAACTGTAGACTTGCAGATATCCTGATGTCAATATACATAATGACACATAAGCCTTCTTGAAACCCATCTGGGTACAATACATAAATCTGACATTGTTACTTTCCTAGAAATACTGGTAAAATTTGCCATGTTAAATCATGAGAAAATTGTTGGCATGGGGTGAATATACAAGAATTCTTACAGAACGGATCAAATTTATTAACAATAAAGAATTGAACTTTTGCTTCTCCCCCAATATTGAAATATAATTCAAGAAAAGTTAATAAATGAATATTTAATTACAATTTTACAAAGCATACAAATTTTAAAAATATGCATGATAACGGAATGTCAAAACTAGCAAACTTTTAAATGTATATAGTATTATATGTATTTAGAAAATTAGTCAATTAACTATATAGACCAGGAAAATTAAATAAGAGTTTCATAACAGATTTTGTTAGCTGCATTAACTTAAGCAGATGTATGTGATATTTTTTTCTTTTCTTCAGTCATACACAAGTAACATAAAGCCATTTTTTGTGAAATTGTAAGAAAATCCTGGAACTAGCGACCGAGGCATGGGATGGGATAATGCACAATTACTTAGAAGGATCAACACATAATTAGTGACCTTCATAAGTTGTTTTAGGAAAACAAAAGGACTGTAAACATTTAGCATTCACAATAAATTTCTAGATATAATTTTAAACAAGATATATCAAAACCAGTGTAAACGCCGAAGTCTTATTAAGTTTTAAAATTATTAATAATTGAATTCCACTATGAAATTTCAACAAAGCTTAAACGTTTTGATGTGTGCTCAAATTCTGAAATTCTATCTTATGCAACAATGTTTGCTTAGGAAAGTAAGTTTCCATTATATTACATTTTAATACATTTTATTCAAATAAATATATGATTTTGTTGATTTTTCTTTCGCTTCAGGTAACCTCTATCAATTGTATACTTATTTCTATCAATATGAAATATGTGTCATATAAAGAATATGTATTTATACATATTTATCAACATTTCTTTCACGTCCATATCTAATACTTGTTGCACATC